CTGGGAAATGTAAGAGGACTTAAGTATCAGAGCTTTGGCGCTTTTTTTGCTATTTTAGTTATTCATATCAGATGATGACAGTATTACAAAAGAAAACTTCACCTGTTCTGTTTTTCTTTATCTGCTTTTATCTATTCATCTAACATTTTCAGGTTCGATAATTAGAAGAAGAGTCCAAACTGGTACAGACCTTGTCCCAGAGCTGATTGGCAGCTAAGACCTTTAAAGCTGTGCACAGAATTTTGTATACATAAAACTGACCAGCTAGAAAGACAAGCAGCCTCTTGTGGAAGTCAATGCTGTAATTTACTAGCATCTTCCCAGTGCTTACAAAATAAAGCTGTACTTTTCAATGCAGTAGATCCTAAAGGAATTCAGAAACACAGGCCTGAGTGGGCCTCTAGTCCTGTGCTAACACTGGGAACGTTTTATGTTTTATCTTTTTAACCTGCATCTCAAAAAAGGCATGAACTTAAGAGATTTTCAACATCTTACTCTTGTTAATGCTGTCACACATTGTGCTCTATTACGTTGTCAGATGCTGTACTAGTACCAAGAAAAGAAGAATGAAGACAGAAGGGGAAAGGAAGCAAAGCTGAAAGTTTAGTGGAAATTAGTTTTCCTGTCACAAACCAAGAGCTAAAGTTAGCTCCTTATTTCACTTGGGGAAGAAAAAAAAGCTTAAAAATCTCTAAAAGTCCCTGTTGCTTATAAACACCAGTATATGCACCAGCCTATGGAAATAGGAACCAAAACTTCCTCTTCCCAGATTATTCCTGTCCCAAGTGAGATGGTGAGGGAACTCCTTGCTTACCTTACACCATCGGGCTTGTGGCAAGGACCAGCAGCCTCATCCTTGGAGCGGGATCTGCTCCCAAGCAGGTGCGAAGGCAGAACACAGAGCCGGGCCCCGCCTGAAGGGTCTGCGGCCTAACAAACTGCTCCAGCCCTCACTGCCAAACTGCTTCCTCCTCCTCTCACCTCCAGCATCAACACCCTCACAGCCAAACAGCCAATTCTGCCAAACCAACATATCAGGAAAATCAGGAAGAAGAAAATCTGGCAGCTGTGCTGGTTGGGTTCTGGTGGGGCCCAGGGAGGGGCTGCACGAAGCAGCTCCGGGGGCCCAGGTGGCCGAGGCCAGGTCATTAGAGACAGTGGATGTGCCTCCCATAGGGCCTGAGCTCTCCAGCAGGCAGGGGAGAACCAGCTGTGCTGGAGAGGTGAAAGATCCTGAGGTTGCTGAGGAAGGTGCCCAAGCAGAAGTTTGCCTGCAGCAAGAGGGCAGCCGTGCCCCTGCACTCCCGGAGGAACATGGCATGGCGCTCCCTGAGGGCGCCGGGAGAGGCCAATGTGGCCTTGTCGCCTGTGGACTCGGATCTGCAGCCGTGCAGGACCCCACAGCAGGGGAGGTGCCTGCTCCCGAGGCAGCCCGTGACCCTGTGGGAAGCCCAGGCTGGAGCAGCTCCAAACCTCATTGGAAAGACTTACGGAGAGGCTCGTGGAGAACCCTCTCCCCTAGGAGTGAGCCCTTGGGGAAGCAGGGGAGGACTGTAAGGAATCCATCTTCCTGAAGAGGAAGGAGCAGCAGGAAAACACCAGACTGAACTAACAATAAACTCCATCCTGTCCCCCCCAACAGAACTAAGAGGCCACAGAGCAGCAGAAGAGACTGCTTGCATTAGAAGTTATTTGATGGTGTCATACTTTTCTGCCACATTGCAGGGGCAGACAGATCTGCTTCCAGAACTCTCCAAGCATGGACACCACACTGTTGACCTGCCAATTCATTTCAAGCCAATGTAGTGCAACACAAATCAGTCTTCAATTATGTAACATTTTGGAAATCAGCTTCCACTACTTCTGTGGAATTTCATGACTGCCTGAGAGCACAAATGGGGTTTCTCAGTATAAAAACTCATTAGATTTGAGAGCTGTGTTTACAGAGTCACCAGACCTGACTACTCAGCAACAGAACAATTCACTTCATTAAGAGAACTGAATTAGTCTGATTACTTAAAGATTCCTGGTACCTTGTTACTGGAAGCACCTTCATAGCCTCTATGGCTATGGAAAAAGAAAACTGTTTTTTCCTTTCTGTGGAGTATTCATAGTTTCATGCAAGGGCCCCAGCTCCCTCCCAATATTAATTATGCTTCCTAGTATAATATCTGACATTTCACCTCTCTAAGTCCATGCTGCAAAACTATATTTTCTAGTCCACATTCCTGTTCTATGTGAGGAAGAAAAGAAGGAAGAGGATCTGAAGACTAGGGAACACATGATATTGCTGATGTGACATGATGATTAGCCTGCTGACAGGTACTCTGAGCTGCCAGGCCAGCCAAAGAGAGAAAAAAAGCCAGAACTCTCCATCCCTTTCCCTTTCACCTCTTCCCAGCATCAATTGTCATCAACTTTTAAAAATCTTTTAAAACATAATGCTGAAATCACTGTCCCTCCATTAAAGCTAACTGATACTGCCCACTGAGGTAAAGACATATCAGAGCAGTAGATTAACAAGAAGACACAGACATCAATCATAAGCTTTGATCTCTTCGCAAACAAGGCTAACCAAGGTTACTGTCCCACACTATCAGCACTCAAAAGAGGTTTCTGGAGAGGGATTCCCTCCAGGGGAAAAATGAAAATAAATCAGTAACATAGGAAAATCACAGCCATTATCTTTTCCTTTTTACATACTTTGATAATTTCTCCAGCTATGAAGTACAGAACAAGGGATGTTCTGCTGCTGGCAAGAAAACAAATTTTCTTGGTGTTACCTGCATGTCTGCTTTTGAAGTGGACAACTAACTGCTCTACTGCTTCAAAGGCTGGCCAGTATTGCAGTTAAGAACCAGTATCCTGATACAACTGAGTAACTAGGTCAAACTTAGTAACTGAAAATGTGAGCTTGGAGTAAGTGAAAGATCTGTTCCAGTCAATTAATAATAATCTGAAAGCTGGTCCTTTGCCAAAGAACAAGTGTAAAACAACTCTCACTAAGACACATCACAAGTTTCTGATGACTGATACCCAGAAGGCTGCGCAGAATGAAATACACTTTGCTTACTTTCTAAAAATTTGCTTTCATTTATTTTAACTATGACTCAAACTCTCATTCCCCTCTTCAGTACTAGCAACTGAATTACTATGCTGAGCTTAAATGTGCTGTACAGGCAACAAGAAGATCAATGAAATAATACTCCATGAGCTAAATGGAGTTTATTTGCTGGTCAGGCACAATACTTTCTAAAAATGTGATCAACTGATTCAAATGAAACAAAAATCCCTAATTCTGCATCCTGCCTGGTCTTGACCAAGACTTCTCATCATCTCTGCAAAATGACAAAAATTATTTTATTGGGCTGCTATGAAGTTTAGAGTTTGCAAAGAACAGAACAGTAGTTACACTCAGTTTCTTTAGAGGGATTTTGATGTTCACTGTTTGCATTTTCTGCCCAGAAAAGCGGCTTTTGATAGTCTCTCAGGCACTGCATAGGTAGTTAATAATCCAATTTTAGCAAACATGGTTCTGAGGAAGACAAAAGCAAGTTTTTTAATATTTTATTGATCAAATTAATAAAACCTAAGAAAACCCCAAAACAGTAGTATACACTTTGAATTGGCCTTAAAAGATATTCAAAACAATGGACTGACAAAATATTTCTTATTTACAGTTCAGAAAAGTATCTTCAGGTGGCACAAATGCTCTAAAGGTCTGGAAAGATTACTTCTTGCCACCTGCATTTGAGAAACCCTTTCAAAGTCTGCATGAACTCAGTCAGCACAGGATGTAAGAGAGAAGAGAGCAGGTTACTGTGTAGGGAGGTAGGAGCAAAGAGCTATTGCTGTTTCTCACACATTAGCTGTTGTTTAGTATAAAGTGCAGATATTCCAAACTATTTTTTAAGTACAGGTCATTATTTTTTTCCTTTTTATGATCTTTATACCATTTATACATTTTCAGTAATAAAAGAACAGCACTGAAAAGAGAGAACATGGTTGTAATAAACAAGCATCTGTGAAGGTGTCATGAATATCTCCCCAGATCTGTAATCAAACTTGAGTATCTCTTTTTAAGCAGTATTTGACTACACTTTGGATTGTTCTGTGTAGACAACACTCCATTTTGGTTACCACTGTCAATTATTATCAGTTATCTACCACAGGTATACAGCTTTCTTGGATTCTTATGCTCTGTGATAGCAGTTATCTGCAGGATATGACAAGGGGACATAACTGATTCATTCATTCCTGTAGTACTAGCAGAATGTACAGTAACTGCAGTAGTTAAAAGTATAAAAAAATCAGAAATCCCAGCATATGAAACAGGAAAATGTATTTTAAAAAAAGGGACAAACTATAGAGCTGCTGCTGAACTGACAAGACAGACAGTACAGAGATTACCATAATTATTGATTTGAGCACAGTGTGGCAAGATCAGCACATTTAGTTGTGTATTTCAAACTATTACTTTGTGACTTGCTGGCCTAGAGTTTTTTCCCCATAAGGATCTGGGTTTTTTTTTTAATAGGAAAAAACCATGAAAATAGAGACTTTTTCCCTTCTGTAAGAAAATATGGCATTACCTCCACTAAAGATTCAGCATTACCTGGTAACCCCATGGTAACATTTCTATCTTCCTTCCCAGGCAATGTAACAAGAATTTCAGGCGTCAGTGCAGATGCTCATTAAATTTAGTAGTTTGCTGAAAGCAATATCAAGGACAGGCTAGATTCAGTGTGCTAAAGGAAAAGAAAAAAAGATGCTTTAAAGGTATCATTACTTCACAAGAACTTCATATTATTTCAATCCTCTGTTCTAGTTTTGAAAGGTCAGACGACATTTATACCAACTGCAAATGTCTCTGGGATTTCTGCGGTCATTTGAGAAAATAAAGATGGATATACTGTTGTCTCATTAGCATCCTGTTTTGTGCCTCATCTCACAGAAATCTTCCAAAACTTGGCTTGTTTTAGTCACCACGTATCACCAAATCACATCATGTCCAGCTGCAAGTAGAAGAAACAGATTTGGAAGAAGCAGCATTGAATTCAAGTTATTTCTTATGCCCGTTTAGCGCTTAGAAAACAAAGCAAGTTTGGAAATCCCTATCATATAAACTACATGGACTGCACAGAACTTCATACTAAACTGCTATAAAGTACAAAATCCTAAAAATCTCATCTTCACATTATCGTAAGTGCAGCTTATAGGTTTTAAAAAGTACAGTCTAAAAGTAGAAATCTGCCTGCTATCAAAGCTTCTTTAAAACCATCTACACCATCAGCTTAAGCATTAGAGACAGATTTGTAATGACTCAGACTGTAAAAAACAGCTAAAATATTAATTAAAAAACCTCTAGAAATCCTTGAATTTCAGCAAGTACCTATATTGAGAATGTTAATTGAGAAGATTAAAACAACTTTTTTACAATGACTTCCAGTTTTCAACCTACATAAATACCTGTTCTAGATCTACAAGGTTTGTTAAATACTATTATAGTATATTATAACAATCTGTTATCAAATAAGCAGCCTTCTGGGCTCTTTTGAAACCTACTGGAAGACACATTTAACCTAGGTAAACATCTATGTTACTACATAACAGTATTTGCCATCATGAAATTACATGCTTTACAGTAGCAAATAAGTAATTTCATGTGGCTCCCTTCTGAGTCAATTCTTTAGGTGTTTTCTAACCCATGAACTCTAATCTACTGCTTGAAGGACTTGCTGTCCTTCCCTGCACTTTTCAGTTACAGTTTAATTCTAAAGCAACATCATGTCTTTATGTTACTCACCAAATCATCAACATCACCAGCTTCATCTGTGGGAGACACAGTTTCATTTTTCTTCACTTTTGGAGCCAAGAACTGAAAATACAAATGTATTTATATGATACTTAAACTCAGGCCCTTAATGTTAAATTAACAGTATGTCTGCTTTGTATATCAAAACAAATCCACCTGTAATTAAAAATTATGAAGAAACTTGGTCCTGGTTTTCATCCACCAAAATAATCTTAAACTACAGGACATCTCATAAGACTTACCTTTAATGGATTTTATGGTCAAGTGTGTTGAACACAGACAGATGGATACAGTTTTTTAGACAACATATGGTTAAACTGTACAACACCTTACCATAAGGATACTGCAAATATTAGTCTTTAGTCTCATGGGGAGGTGGGGCAAGTTCATAGAAGAGAAGTCCTTTGATTCTAGCTCTAACCAAGACATCTGTTAAGCCCACAGAACAACCTCAACCACAGAAGTACACGAGACATCAGTGTCTGGACCCTGGGACTCCACACTTTTCCCTACCCACCTCTGTTTTTCACTGTCAAACACAGGATTCTGGACTAAATGGAAATGAACAAAGACATGAATTTAAAAAAACCCTCAAATACACAAGAGGGTTAGAATGCCAGTCTCTAAAAATAGAGAATTTGATTACATAAAATTCTAGTGCTGTGGCTGCTGATACAACTCACCACATGCCCTTCACTTAAAGCATGGCATCCATAAACAAAAAATAAAGGTAAGTTGCCCAGATACTATAACAACTGAAATCAACCACACAGACAATACCTGGAGTACAAATCTAAATTTTACCCTTAGCCTAAGATGACAAAAAAAAAAATTTAGCTAGAATGGTGGAAAAAAAATAAATTACGTAATTGTCCCTTACTTAAAGTCTACAAATTTTAGTTAGGGTCTGTTTACCAATATCCTTACTATAAAATCTTAAGTTTTCTCCTTCATATTAAAATGCCCCAGAACAAGTATACAGAGCTGGGAACAACTATGCCCCACATAAAAAGATGGCTGTGAAAGCTGGAGAGGAAGAAAAGCCACATCACGACTTCGAGTGCCATCATCCTTAATTGAGAAAAAAACTTTGCTATAACTAGATGATGAAAGAGAACAGCTAGTTAGAAAATAACCATATTAAACATATAAATACCTGTTTAGAGTTTAGGTAACTCTTGTGCAAACAGCTGGCTCCTGAAAGCAAGCTACTGTTTTCCCAAGGACTTAACTGTAACAGCTGTGGAGGTTGTGTAAAAGGCAATGGGATCCCTGTCAGAGCAATACCAGGCTCTGAGACAATTTACTTGTACTGTAAAAAGCTTAAATATTATTTTACATAAATAACATGTTCTGATCCTTCTCTAAGGCAATAATGATAGCTTTAAACAAGGGGCAAAAGACAGAGAAGTTACCTGCTGTATCCTATTACTGGGAAAGTACCAGATACCATACCTACTAGGATGAAAAGCAAATACATTGCTTTTGATTAACACCAAAAACAGAAGATGTAGACAACTTCTTGCCTACTTATCTCACTACACAAAGGTCAGATCTCTTCTACATCCTAAACAGAAACATCCAAGAGCATTATAGAAAGTTTACTTCAGACAATGCTCATGTTTTAACATGCTGACTTGAACTTATATAGATTTTATATCTGCAAAAAAAGAGAAGGTGACAGGGGCAGAAGGGGTTAGAATTTCAAGATGCTGTATGTCTGTGTATCTTTTTTGCTGGAAATGTTCTCAATCTAACAGTAATATAAAGGTCATACTATGAAACTACAAGCTGATGACACTGTTCGCTCTGAAAGGCTTTCTGTCCCAGATCAAGTTTAGTTTTACACAGTTAATTAAGAGTCAAATGGTACTTCTGGAAGTAGCCCTTTAAAAAAAGTTTTCAAACGTAGCTTTCCCACACTAAATTGGGTAAAGAAAGCTAAAAGCTAAATAAATGCATGATGGAGATTTGCAATAAATTGAAACTTTAAGTTTCCATCAAATGCTGAACATCCAAAGTAATTTTTTTCCAAAACCTATTTTACATTTATGCAAAAGCAAATTACATATAATAGTTGTTCTGAAATCCATTATCTTCCTCAAAGCAACTAGAAAAAGCACTTTACATTTCTGCTCTTTTAACCTATCATCCTCATGCTCTGAAGAATATCTCTACTATTACAGTGAAAAACCCCAATTACCTAAACCTATTTTTCTCAGTGACAGGAAAATATGCATGGGTAACCTAACTCAACCAAAAAAGAAAAAGAAAGTCTTCCCCTCTCTAATTAGTGGCCCTGTTAAGTCTTCCTTTCTCCTTCAAACAGGAACCCTATAATCCTGAAATCTTATATTCAAAACAGCCCTGAAACTGCTATCAGCTAGTGATGTGCATGTAAGAAAAAAGGCTTCTGTGTCATATAGGACCACATGGACAGCCAGTCCTTTGACCTACATGCTTGCATTTCACCTGTTACACAGGTGAAGAAAACTCATCTTTTACTCTGATCTGCAATATTTTAAAAGATTCAATGTAACTTTTTAGTGAAGGGTGTCATCTTAAGTATAGAAAACATAAATAATTTTTGCAATCCACTACTGACCTAGGAAAATATTGGCTTTGACTCACTCAGGAAACATGTGTCCAGGTTTAACTTGACCAAGGAGGACAAGATTTTAGATTAGCCCCATAAACTCAAACTAAAATCTTCTATCCCTGCAGTTCTTAGTCCAAGAATATGCAGCCTTCCAGTTTCTTAAGTAAAAAGACATATGAACCCTCAATAAACAATGCCAAATCAGAGTTCTGGTTTTGGATGTGGAAGAGTGTATGGGCAGGTGGTTCTCTGGTGAAGAACTGGGATTGCAAACCACCATTGCAAACAAAGAGATGCAACCCATTTATTCTGAAAGTCAAGGTAACTGCCATGTTAAGGGACTCTGCTGCAGAACTGATTTCATGCAATTTCTCTTATTTTCCTACTTTAAAGGGAAGTTATGGCTATTGTAAGACATTAAATAAATTACAAAAGAATTTCCTGTAATGCAACACCTGGCTGACCGTAGGGTGACATTAGAGAGAAAAGAAATTTTCAAATCAGTCTACTAATGTGTTGCTCCAGCAGCCGCCCATCTAATCCTGGCTACTCTGTAATTTGTGCTGCATTCCAATGCAAGCACATAATTTTTTAACCACCCACAAGCTCACACTTAAGATTTAACAGTACGCTGGAAAGTCTTCATGGCTCGCAGAGATTTCCCTTAAGGAACAGTGGCCATTTCACACAGCATTAGCACATTTAGAGCATCAGTGGTAGTTTCAGACTAGAAAGTGAGGTTCTTAAGAAACATACTGTCTTAGGAAGTTCCCAAGTAAATTCAAAGCATTTGGAACATGTAACAAAAACTGATACTCTTTAAAACCACCACTTGGGAAAAAGTTGCTCTATACAATTACTTGTAATGAGAAACATTCAGTAGGTCCTCCATGTCTAGAAAAAAACATCATATCCTCTCATTTCAACTCTGCAGATATGCCTGTTTTCTGGACTCTTAGCTTGTTAGCTTTTCATTTTCATGACATTTCTGTGCCCTCTTCACCTTGAGGTAAATTGTTACAGATGGAAAAAGCAGTTTCTAAAATACAACATCTTACCCACTGTTAATTCACTCACAGAGAACCTACTTCTATCCCCTTCTGGCAATTGCTAATGTGAGCTCTGGAAGTTGCAAAAATCAATATGGCATCTTTTCAAAAAGCTGCTTCTCTGCAAAGTATTTAAGTGATTTGAGCCACAGGTTTACCTCGAGGGGTCTGTAATACAGGGACCTTCTTTCTCCTCGACTACTTAAAATAATGGCTAGCAGCCTGGTACAAGAATGCCCACCTTACCCACTCCACACAGATACAATTTTTGAAAGCAAGTCTGAATTCTGCTTCCTTTCAAACAGGAGGCACCACTCTGCCTGTTAGAATTCTCTCATTTGTAACTGTGACATCCTTCACTCATGACTGCAGTTAGTGTTGTATTTCTGTAGAAAGACTACCTGCAAATACTCCAAAACTTTTGCTTCCAAATGAATCTAACAGGATCACCAATAATAATGCAGAGGAGCTGCATGAAGTGGAAAACACCGATATCACCATAAATAAGGATGAAAACAAGACATAACAACTTTATACTGCTAGAGTTCACAAACTTTGGATCTAAAGAGGTATCCTGATTTTGGAACTCTTGTGCTAGCAATAAGATCACATTTCTTTCTGTAAAGTTCAAGTACTGATTTTGCTTGTATAAACAGTCTATTGCTCTTCCACTGTACTAAGTTCCTGAAATGCCTATTCTTTGTAGAGGACACTTTCAGGTGATTATGTCAATATGTCCTAATTTCTAAAGATCAATTAAAACAAAATGCTGTGGTACACACTAGGGAATTATTTTTGCTCTGAACTGGAGTAGTTTCAATTGTGTGGCAAAAGGACACCCTTCTTCCTTCATATAGATCTCATTTTGTTCACCTAAGGTTTTATCCACATCAGCATCTTCTGTTCCACAGCAAAAGCTCTATACAAATAGATGCTCATAAGAAAAAAAATTATACCTTTTCAGCCTCTTCACTAGTCACTGAACTTCCTTCTGCTTCATCTTTAGTGATCAAAGAAATTCTGTCTAAGAGAAAAAAGACATGAAAAGATCATTAGAAGGCTTCCCCAAAACACACAACTTTAGAAATGAAAAGTCTTCCAACTTCTGAATGTCATAATCACCAGAAAAATAAAAAATATTGCCCAAAGGAAAGCTGACTCATTTATGCAAGTCAAATTATGATACAAAAATAAATTAATGAACATATTAATAAGCTTCTGGAAGTATCCATTTAGGAAACTGCTAATATTATGACAATCAGACTAATGAGACATTGAAATCATAGATCACAGACAAAATGCTGAAAATCTATCAGAAATTACACTTTTATTCATTTACATCATGCTTAGGTCCCTAATAGCCTTAGAAAAATTAACTCCTAACAAACAAAGCACTTATGCTGTGATTACCTAAAGTCTGACTAGCAAAGTGCTGGTCCTGCCCCCCCTTAGCTCCTTGGTTGTACCAGCATTACTGTTGTGTGCAGTGACCACCTTCCCAAAAAAAACCCACAACAATAAACAAAACCACAACTCAATTACTTTTTACCCCAGCAGTTTTTCCAGTCTACCTTGCTTGTGCCTGAATAAGGCAGCTGTGGATGTGAGAGTAAAGAGCCACAGAGTGAGAAAGGTTACAGCAGCAGCACAAGTGCAATGCCACCTTAATGTGCCCATAGAAATGGATGGCAGAGCTTCATGATACAACTGGACTTGTCAAACAGATCTGCCTTGTTCCAGAGCCACTAATTCATTAATTCACATACATCCTCTTCTGGTGAGTGCAGTTGCTCATGACAAGGCCCAACACATGCTGCATTTGGCAGAAAAGAGGGCACAGCTCCTGTGGCAAGAAGCAGGGAAAACTTGACTTGTGTTTTTGGTAGCAGCAAGTGCAAACAATTTGAGCTACCAAGGGAGAGGAGCTAGGTTGTGCATAAAGCACCATGATTTTATCATATTCTTCACAAGAATATGATCAATTTTGTATGAAAATAGAATCTGTTTGTATTTTTTTTTTCCCCTCAAAAATATACTCCAGTTTGAAAAAAGCTCTGGTTTGGACCAGATAAAATTATTAAAACAAAATTCCATTATGACTTTGGAAGGTTCAAGTTTCCTACTTTCAAAGTTTGTATTCAGATTTCTCCAGAGAAGGTCTCCTCTAATACTACTGGATAGGTTATTCTTTCAGGGTTGTCTTGTGCTGTTGTTTTCAGTTATTAAACAAATTCCCATCTTATATTTGGACAAAGTTGGATGAAGTCAACATTTGGAGTTTGTCACTTTGACAAGGTGCTATACAAATCCTACCATTGCATTTTATAGCATGAACACTTGAGAGATACAGCTGGGCATTTACAGATTTTCTTCAGTGGTTCCAATAAAAAACAAGAGTATGATGTAAAAGATTTTTTTTAGTCCACCATGTTTTGTATTTGTGAAAATGTTCTTTTATTTATAACTTGCATAGTCTCTGAATGTCTCCTGGAATTGCACTGCCTCATATCTCCCAGTTTAATCATAGGTAGGTGTCATATTACCACATATTTTGTCCTTCAGGTTGCTTAAATACAAAATTATCAGTGACATATTTCAAAGCTATCTATGCCTTTTTTGAAGCTTAATTTGGAAGAATCTTTTTATATCTCTGCTGCATGAGATTTTCCCATTTTGAAATTCAGCTGAAAGCACATCTTCTCCTTACCCTGTAACATTTAATTTGTCTCTCATCTTCCACAATTAATTTACCATTCCAACATGACCTGGCAAGGCATTATGTATATTGCTGATATGAAACCATTAGTGCAAAAAAAAGAAGTTGCAGTGTGAAAAATTTTTGGTTTGTGGTGGGTTGTTTTTGTAAACAGGCTGCAGGAATGAACCATACCAAAATGCTGCTCTGGGGTTAGAGTATAGTGTCTATGGAAAACAGTCTTTTCTTATGTAATAAATAATACAACAGATACAGATAATACTTAGATATAGGGTTTTTTTGTTTGTGGCTTTTTTGGGGGGTGTTGTGTGGTGGTGTTTGGTTTTTTTGTTATGATGGTTGAACTTGGTGATCTCAGAGGTCCTTTCCAACCATGACTATTCTGTGAATCTGTGATTCTATAACCAGAATTATTATTTTTTTTTACATGCCATCCTACCTTGTATCATGATCTCCCAGAAATCAGCTAAGGCTTTATCTTCCACCTTGGATTTCAGAGCCTGCAGAAAATCATTAAAGCACTGCACCTTGGACAGCTGAAAAAAAGCAACAGCAATGATAACTGAGAAATATTAAAGTAGCTTACTGAAAAGTGCTGCAAACTTAATTATTTTTGAAGTCATCTATCACAGTGAACCCAAAAGTCAGTTCAGACTTGGGTTTTTATCTCTGATAAACCCAAGCTTTATAGGGAAAGGTGAGCCAAGGAAACAGCCTTTCAGAAATCTAGAAAGACTTCCTTGTAATAAGCTGTATTTAAGAAGAAATATCTATGATTGCTTATTTTTCTTTGACAAGCATCAGGTCACAGGCCTTGTGTTTTTTATTTTTACAGGAAAACAAAAAAGAGCAAATTGCAGAAAAGCTAGTCCTTGTTCCAGTACGAACAAAAAAAATATATATAATGTAAATCTATTTCTAAACTTTCAAACAGCAAAAATATTTTAATCTATTAATAAATTCTTTTTCCTGTAGCAAAGAATTATCAAATTTCTAATACAGCAAATAGGTTCATCATGTCTTTCATTTGAAAAAGATGCCAGTTTTCATGTATTAACATTACCTTAATGGCCTCCTCTCTGAAAACTCTGATGCAATTGATCCCTTTCATGTAGTACTGTGAACCTTTATTTTCTAGGAACTGATCAATGCGGTTTATCAGCTGCTGACTCACTGAAAGACAAAGAGAAATAAATAAATCAAAGAATGGACTTGGAAGGCAAAAAAAAAATAAATTCCTTTATGTCTCTCTTTTTCTATTCCACAAGCATCAAAAGATCTATTCATACCCATACTGCCTCAAGTTAGTCAAGGTGATAATTGTTATCTAAACTACTGACAATTACTTCAGCCTCTCTGGGAAAGCTAAATGTACTACAAAGAAACTCAAGCATGGCCAAGGCAAAAGTCTCTCCCTGAAAGACAAGAAAGGAAGCACCAGCCTAGCTTGTTTGATAGAAAGTAAAATGAGAACATTTGGGATTCTAAAGCTGAGGGAAGTTATGTTCTACAGCACACAGTATATCCCCTAGACATCCTTTGAAATACATGCATATTTCAATAAAAGCATTATATTTACAATGAAAGCATATTGATGTCAAAACACCAGCTGTGGGGTGACTTGAGTTAAAAGACTACCTTGTCGTTTTTGACATTATCCTGTCCCTGTACAGGCAGTTTGACAATTTTTCAACAGGGCAATGCTGGTTATGATTATGGAGTTAAGTATTATAAACTGTGTATGGCTGACAGAGAGAAGCAAAGGCAAACAATAAGACTTGTACCAGCAAGATGGGGAATGCCAGTTTCATCCTCACTGCCGTGTTCCTAAAAGCTAGACAGCTGTAGAACACTGCAAATGTGCCAAGTGAAAATGTCACCAAGAGCTCTGCAAGCTCCCCAAAATTATGCTGGATTTTAGTACTTTATTTTCTTTGTACTTAGGTGAGGAACTGTCCAGTTTTACCCTCTGGCAGACACCTCAGCCTGAGAAAAGTCAAGTGTGAGAAGCATACGCCAGTGAACTCAGAAGCACCGTGAAAAGGATTAATAGGGAGGGAAATGTTCGCTGCCTCTCTCAAAATGAGAGCAAAGAGTTGGGTTAAGAACAAAACAAAAGAAGTACCTCTTCACACAAAACCAGTTAACCTCTTTACCCCAAGCTGTTGTAGAATGCTAGAAGTTTTAACAGCTTAATAAAAAAAAAAAAAAATAATGCTTGAATAAATCCTTAGAATTCTTAAAAGAAGGAAACTACTGAGGGAGATTAAAGGTGATGCTGCTATTACAGTAAAAAGCAGAACAGCATTTTAGACAAGTCACAGCTTCTGCCTGTTCTGTTCCTGTGCTGTTAAAGACAGGTTACTGGATGGTTACCTTTAGCCTGACCTACAGCCCTTATGTTCAGATGCTATAGGCATAGATGTCACTATTTCAGCCATGGAAATACCAACAAAGAACATAATCTGCCAGAATGATGGACGAGACTAAGTATGTAAACACACTGAGAAGCAGACATCATTTAAATACTGTATTCCATCCTGCTCACTGCAAGCATACATGGTGCTAACTGTTACATCTACATCCTGTGAAACACCTAACTGAACTGAATCTGAAGGACAGCATCTCTGAAAAGAGTGAAACAAGACAAGTTTGATATTCTTCTGCTAGCTTTTGAGTGGGAAACTCTACAAAGTTTCTAGATAAGGAGGCAAATAATCATTCTGTCCAACAGCAACTACCACACAAGAAAGTGTGCTTAAGTGCCTGCTGCTCCAGAGGTGATCAGCTCATTCTTTTCATTTATTGTACCAGTAGCTGACAAACTAAATAGAAGTCTCACTACTTAAGCTCTCTGAGTTAAGTCATTCCATTTTTTTCATGGTTAACGATTTTCTCATTAAATGTTCTATTTTTTTATGAATTGCACTAATAAAAGCAAGTCCTGCTGGTGTTTTCAATGGTGATGGTGGTTTTTTTAAACACTGCCTTTTCATTGATGTGTTAAATTAAAACCCCAGGCACTATGAGGGTGCAATGAAAGCCTTAATTCCAAACAGTAGGCTAGAATCATTCTGACAATCAGACACTCTATTTCTTCTTTTGCATTTTTTTTCCAATCCTTTTCCATTTGATTGCACTGACAGGCTTCAGAAGAAAAGACTTTCTTGCTACTGACTGTAAGCTGTCTCCTTTTGAAATCTGTTTTAAGGAACAATAAACCCTACAATATTTTTACAAGGCACTGAAGGACCACAATATATGCAGAAAACAGGCAACATGGCAACAATATTTTAAGTCAGATTCTTCTAACATCTTAAAATTATTTGGCTAAAAATGGGTCTGTCCATTGGGTCTCCTTTAAATGACAGGGCAAAGACTAAAATCTAAAAGAGATAAAATTCCTGTGTCCTGATTAGCCTAACAAATTACTTTAGGGAACCAAAGACAAGGTCAGAGACAGTAGATAAGGATTATAACTAAGTCCTTCAAAACTGACTCTGTTCCTTTACACTTCTAGATTTGAGAACTTTGTTGGTTTCCTGCTGTCATCTGCCTTTCCATTAGTGTGGCACTGGTTTTGGTTGGTGCAAAAAACAGATCACCCTGTTTCTGGAGAAAGGCATGTTCTGCCTAAAGATGTCTATTTAACTAAGCTCTCAATATTAGCAGTAACTCTGATGCGTCCCAGACAAACCTCAGGCACTGGGGGTTTTGGAAGGGCAGATCCTAGAGTTGGAAACTGACAGGCTATTCAGGCCACTACTGTATAATGCTAGTTTTTTTTTCTTCTCTCCCATTTTCCCTTATCCCACGCACACGTAAGGAAGTGACTGAAGAAACTTCTTCATTTTGCATAAACTGGAATTCCAGCACTCCTAATAAGCACCATGTTCTGCAGAGCACCCCAAGAAATTTTAATCTTCTGCTTCCCATTTCTACTGCACCCGATTGGTTAGATAACAAAAATAATTATTAAAGACTGGAGAACTACAGGTAGAAGGAAATAAACATCTTTGAACAGAAGATCTTATAGTTCTAACAGAATTTAATCCCTTTCCCACTGGCATTCAGATACATTCCCTACTGCAAAATACATTCACTAGTGCTGTTGCTTCCTGTGAAATATGCCATGAACAACTATATTCACTTGTTATCTCTGAGTAGTTATACTACAAAAGTGTTGTTATATTTTCATGTTTGGTCAATTCAGTCCTTAGTGTTGATTCACATGCAAACCAGATTGAAGCATAATAACAGATAAAGCTGTATTATAATCCCAGTCCAATTCCTTAGGGATTCCCCTTTCCTCACTAAAACAGTCATCAGGTTAAAAAATAGCTCTTCCCATAGACAAAAGACTCCTGTTATCAATCTTTTGATTTATCCACTGTTGGTGATAATGATTTGTGTTAATGGACAGTGCTTAAAGTAAGCCACTGATCAGTTAAACCAACTCGTGATGTATCTTTAACTACTGCTCTGTGTCATCTTCTTGTAACTGAATAAAGACAGTTTTCTAAATTTCTCAACAGAAAAATGCTCAAAGTTTTTTAAGGACTTCTGCCATCTTTAAGCCAAGAAATAAGTATTTTAAGATCAAGAGCTGCTGAACTACTCTGGTGTCCTATGAGGCACTGGTCAATTTTGAAATGGTCTTTCTAAATGGCCAGTGGGTATAGATCAGAATGACTTAAGCTGGATGTCTGAAGGACATCTGGTCCAAATCCATACTCAAAACAGGGTTGCTACGGAGCAGGGGACTCAAAGCTTCACTGACTTGGGTTCCAAGTAGCATCAAAGATGGAGTTTCCAAGTTCTCTGGGCTCCTGTTTGTGTTTCACTACCACCATTGTGATTTTTTTTTTTTTCATCCATAACATGTAATACAAATTGTTTGTTGCAACTCAGAGCTTTGCACCTCACCTGATCACTGTGCCCTTAAAAGACCAATCTGGCTTCACCTCCTCTGTGAAGCAGACATACAGGAAACTTCAAAGTGACTTTATATACTCAAGTATTTGGTTTGCAAATACTCTTCCAATGACTGAATCATGTTCATTAAACCGGTCATTGCATTTGGCCTACCTAGCAGTAGAGTATGAAAAGAGTCTCTGAAATACACAAACACCAGTAAGATAAAAATTTTTTTATCCCAGTAAGATGAAAATGCAGACAAACTGCAAAGATATGTCAACAAAAAGTGAAAGTAAATACTAGGGGTTTTTCTAACTATCTTAGGTCTAGAAAGGTAGTTAACTATATACATTTCTACCGAACATCTTGTAATAAAACACCATCCTTGCTGCAACTGTCTAATAAATTCGCATTGCAAATCTCTTATATGCAATTATTTTATGCATACAAAGCATCCAGTGCAAAATCTGTGTTTTACATTTCACTTGGGGAGCTATCTAAATACTAAGACAAACGTGTGACTCCTCAAACACAACAGAAGGTCTGCTGAAATATATGCAGTTACTGACTCTTAACTTTATTTTTTTAAAAATGCTGAGGAACAAAAATATTAACAAACTTGATACAAATATATAAACAAACACGTGGTTCAATTTGTCTCTGGACATTTTTTTTGTTAATGTCCATAAGATGTCCAGTTGTCATTGCAGCTCTCTCTCTTCACTGACTATCAGTAAAGAAAAAAACTTTTTCACCTATAGGACTTCAGACAAATTTCACAGAGAGGAGTCCTGTAAGACGCAACAAAATCTGGTCTATAAACTTGCACAGAAAATGTACAAGTCAAAGAAAAAACTATGTATGTGTCAATATATTTTTCCCCCCCATTAGGCTACCCTATCTTCTACAGAAGTAATGAAAACAAAAGAGCCCATGTCAGACACCTCTGATCTCTAGAAACGCAGACATGGATGGAAACCTGCAAATAGCCAAACAGGATGAACAGGTAGTCATGTGGCTACTCCTTTGCTATTAGAAAGATGGCAAGCATTCACTCTAGTTCAGGATTTTCTCTGCAGCCACAGCAATGAAGAAACTCACTGTACACCCTTGAGAGTAACGATTAGATTCCACTCAAGCAAACTAATCTATTTTATTTGCATTCATTGACAAAAGTGTCAGAAGCTGTTACCAGAAGACTACTCTTTGTGATGACTGTGCACTTGTAATGTGCTCAAAATAAGATCTGCAGAAAATGACATCTCTCTGGCCATGAATGCAAACAAGTAAAGCAAAGCTATCCTGGAGGGGAAACAACACTAGTTACATGAGCAATCAACATCAACCAGTAAGTTGATACTCTCACACAGCTCCTCATGTATGCCATAAGTGGGTTCCTACTGTAATAAACTACATAGATGTCAATTAAAACCAAAGTTGATTACTGTTTCAGTAATTGAGCTGCCAGTCTCAGAAAACCTATCCCTAAGGCCCTTGCCAGTGTGAAAATCTTGGATTTACAAAAAAATAAAAATGTATTTACACCTTAGGGACCCAGTTCTCACTACCAGTGAATACATAGTCTGTCGAGGGACCCAGCACTGCCACAGGCTAAGAGACAAAGGCTTATCCTAGGAACAGCACAAACCCTGATCATCAAATCAGGGCAAGGCTGCTGAAGGCAAGGTACTGGTATTCATTTTAGATCATAAACATACCACCTGCACTTCCTACAAGGTGTTTTAAAAAAAAAAATCCCTTGCCATACTTTGGTAAGCTTATAATTTTGTTAAGAGACTCACTGTGGACTAAAAAGGATGAGTGCCATTAACCTGCAACATCATTAAAAACCCACAGTATTGTCAGTATTTAAAGCACAGCTCTTCCTGCTGCTACAGCTTCTCTCCCTACCAAAAAAAAATCCACCCCCAAGCAAACAGTTGGAAGTCCTTTCTCCTGCCTACAGAGGGACCCTGCTGCTATTTTGTGGGGAGAGGAAAAAGAAGGAATTGCTGCTTTATTTCAAAAGATAACATAGGCTCTATTCAGTTTGGAAGACTACACTGGATGCTCTTTTCATGTAAGCAAGAAGCAACACAGGTACAACACAACAGATTTCCTGTCTGCATTCTGACACATATAATGTAATTGTTTGGGTTTTGTTCTCAATAAACTATTTGAATGACACAGATTATCCTTTCCTGCAAAGGTATCTTACATTTCCAGTTTTCTAGCAGAGGAAAAAAGGTTGTATCATTAAATTAGATACAACATTATACTACAACAAACCTTGAAAAACAATGAATAGTTTTAAGGTAGAATTTACTTTTTACATAACCAGAATGCAATACAGCAAGCTATTAAAAACATGCGTGTAATGTTTTATGTATCAAGCTACCTAAAAGGCTCTGAAGCAGAAAAAGGATTACGCAGAAGAAAAAAAATATGCAGAGCACGTTTTTATTTATAGTGGCTTCTCTCTCTCTCCTTTTAATGAGTGACTGCACTACATTCCAACTACACCTTATAATTACAGAGTAGATCACACAAAATAGATTACTGAAAATTTCAGAAGCCATCCAAATGTACTGCAGTTATCTCCAGCACAGCTACCAAGTGGACTTATTTAAGCACTCTTTAGTTAAACCATCTTCAAGGGTAATCACTACATATTTCGCCTTGAAGCTTTCCTAGATGATAAAATTAATTACCATAATGAAGTAGTCAGCTGTTTCATCGTTTCTGTATTCTTACTGCATCTTAATATATCTTGAGATTTGAGAATGCAATTCCAAATATTTTTCAAATGCAGAAGACAAATATTGACATGGGAATTACAAACGACACCTTTGTTACTGAGCAGCATTAGAAGCTAAGCAGTAAACTCCAGATGGTCTCACACACCACCAGAAACTTATATTTAGACAAATGCATTGCATTGACAGAACCCTGAAGATACTACTAAATATAATTAAAAGTCATTTACCATCTTTGAAGTCAGCACTTCTTTGCCTCACCAGAATTCGGAAGTCTTCTGCTGGGTTAACACTCCCAACCTACAAAAGGTCCAAAAATGATACAATTGTCTGCCAAGATCCATCTCTTATTCTTGGAAGGCAACAAAAAGCTTTAAATTTCTGTTTATTTTAATAAGAAAACAGCAGCTCTACAATTCTCTGCATGCAGAGTCCTAACATGAAAGTCTCACCATGCAGGGTAAGGCACAGCACTGCTAGCAAAGGTTAGTTATGACATGAGCAAGATGAAGTTACACTTGCTGTGCTGCACCCTCGTAAGCCAACGATATTGTCTGGGGTTCAGAGGTCAGAAGCACAGTAATTCAGGTTATCTGCTAGTTCAGCTTTGAGACTTTCTGTAGCACAGACCTCTCTCTAATCCTGACAGATGCTTAATGAGGAAAGGGAGCTCCTAGGCATGTGGGTACAGAATAGTTGGATTGCCATTCCAATAGGAAGCTCAAAATTAAAAGCTTGCAGTCAATTCACCTGACTTTTTCTGGCCAAGCCTAACATCTTAAAGCTGAAGATCTAAATGAGCATAAAAGTGCAGAAACCTTACAAAGGAACTAAAACCAGATAAAATATAAATAAACATCTACTGAAAAAGTTGCAATAACTTTAGGAAAATTACATTGCTTAATATTTCCTTTCACAAATCAAAATCCTCCTAAGTTTATTTGAAAATGTTATGCTTTGCTGTCAAAATAATCCTTCAATCTTTCAGTAAGGTTGGATCTCCTTGAGCTCCTTTCAAATCTGGCAATGCCACATCAGAAGTGTATGTTAGAAGTACACAATATTTAAATATTTTCAGATTTAAAAACTTTTACAAAATATTAATAATGCATTTTAAAAACTGATCATAAAGGATATTTTGAAACCAAGTTATCACAATTAGATATTAAAACACCTTTTTCACTGTAATTCAAAAATAATGTAAGAACCACAGTTATGATACAGGTTTCATCTATCCATGTACACAATATCTGGAATTAAATTAATATGTTTAACCTATCAGCAAGATTAAGTCAAATTTGTTATTCACAACTCCTTTTATCAGCAATTCTGTGTAGTTACTATAATACACTTGGAGAAATTAATTTTCTCCTTTAATAATCAGACTTAAAAAAGTAAGCTTACTGAGGTGACATTTCCTTCAGCAAGTTTCATGATGCTAAAGCTACCTTCCTCATCTTCAAGCTTTGGTTTCTTAGCATTAGGTCCATCTTCACTGCTGCAAATAAGGACAAAAATTAATATAAACAAAGTAAACAAACTGTCCTGCCTACTAAATAGGGAGCCAGTAAATTAATGAAATATATACCGAGCACTAGACAAAACTTCATTAGACAACTGCTCCAAACAACCTGGCCTAGTGGGACATGTCCCTGTCAATGCAGGGGGGTTGGAACCAGATGATCCCTTCCAACCCTAGCTATTTGATGATTCTATGATGATTCTACGAACTGTTCCCAAATTAACACTAAAATATGCCTCATTTTCCCCCTCTGGCTGCACAGAGCATTTAGTAGAAAGAGAGATCAAACTTTATCTCAACATACAGTAACAGCAGAAATTGTTGAATGTGCAAGATTATTCATGCTTATTTCAGGAGCAAATTGACTCATACACATCTCCACCTCCTTTCTAAGTACATAATACTTCCAGTCACTTCATTTGGAACCTGTATATTGAATTAACATTGATAATTTACAGGATATTGTGCCATCTGATCTTAACATAAAATGGCACTGCAACTTAACATTTAAGTAAAAATTAATTCACTCTTCAAAAATTACCTGCTAGTTCTTGTCTTGCAATTGATAGCTACTACAAATCTGTTTACAGTGGCTTTCAAGTCTCATGACCCATATTCTCCATCAGCACACAACAGCTTTATAAACTTCCACTTCCAGCAGTCAAAATTCGCTAGACAAATCCCAGTTAACTATGCAAGAACTCTCAGAACATTTTAAGCTATCTCAAAATGCTTTCAAAATATTGTTATTTTTTAAAAAATTTAGTTGTGATTTTAAGCTACTTTCTAGCTTTGTCATTTAACATGACAGTCTACTGACATGGAAGAATCTATTTCAGTTTAAGTATCACAGAATCATAGAATCATTAATGTTGGCAGGGACCTTAAAGATCATCAAGTTCCAACCCCCCTGCCATGAGCAAGGGACTGAAAGCTACTCATCAATCTAAATGGCAGTATTTGTGTTCAAGGAATCCCAAAACAAAGTAAGAAGTTTTTCTTCAAAAATTCTATGACAAGACCAGAGATCTTGGACTAGGTGCCATTTTGAATTCCATAAGATTAGAACCAATTTCTAAAACTGCACTACATGGTGCAGAAGCAACCAACAATCAGAAAACATATATGGTCTTCCTTTTTATATTCTATAGCACACTCCTCACATCCTTTACAATCAGTGTCTATCCCACTTAGTTTCAGCAGTCTTCTCTGCCTTTTATTTAATTTTAGCACAATTGAAATGAAATCCCTCCTCCTCAGCAACTCCTGTCCACCAACATAACCTTACTTGTCACTCTGGGAGTCTTTAGTTATGCCTCAGAACAAGGGTACGATACCTTCCTTCATTCTTAACTTTGCTAACTCTCTGGCTGACCTTGCACAAGTTGCTTGATTGTTCTGGACAGCCAATATGCCTGTCTGTAAGATGGAAGAACTGCTACTTATCTAACACCCATAGGTCTAGAACTTCTACCTTAACCAAAATTCTTGTATATTGATGTGATTTGATGAAAGGTGCAAAGAACAATTAAAATTATCTTTTAGAATATTTTGTTCCAAAGGTCTTTTCCACTCAATTCCAATGTCTTGAAATCTTTTTCCTCTTGCATTTTAATTACTAATTTGAAATGCTTTGGAATTGGAGGAAGAAGAACATAAATTATGATGCTGCGTTTAACTGCCTAGGACCAAATATATAGCTGTCATTAATCAGGGCAGTACAGCAGAAACTAATGAATCCACATCCATTTATACCCGCCAAGGATCTGACATTTAGAATCTGTTACTTGTAATGCACTGATTAGCAGTATTTTTAAACTGTAAAACATGCAACTACTGTTTAAAAAAAAAAAAAAGATTAAAACACCCACTTCTACAATTTATATAGAAGCCTCTCACAGACTACAAAGCTGAGTGAGGTAACAGCCTCTCCAAAGCCAACATAAGGAAAAATTAAAATGCTTTCTTGATTTTTCAAACTACATAGAACTTAGCAAAACTGAAACAAACTAATGCTGAGTATTAAAATCTATATCAAGGTGTTATGCCTTGTTATTAGACCTTATGAACTAAGCAGAGATGAATCAGGATAATAGGATAAAATTAGTTTTAGAAAGCAAAAACAATGGTCAAGAAAGCTTCTGAGCCAAGTTTTTCAAAACACTTCAGTGCAAACTATCTAGATCTGATACTTTCAATAAATTGAGTATTATCTGATGTTCAGTTTCCTTAGTCATTGTTGCAGTGATTTACTTTTCTTTATCAAGTGATTTAATTGTAACACTTGACTTTTTAACAATTTCTTAAAATTGTTCAGATACTAGGTGTTCCAGGAAGAGCCCAGACAGTTTGATTTGTAAAGACATCCACAGTTATTGTACAGCAGGTAATAATGAAGCCACTTTTTGTTTGGAATTCAAACCAAAAGCTACAGAACCACCTAAATCAAGCATGCTGAGAAGGAATACTCAACTTTGCAGCTAATTTAGAGCTTGGCAGCACTTTTCTAATTTAAATTAGACTTTGTTATTCTTATTTCAACTATTTCTTAACTACCAGTAGGACAAACTGTGGCAACAAATACATATGTGAGGAAGCTACAGACTGGTTCCTTGCGTGTCCAGGAACGCCACTAACCACAAAAAACTCTGGGCATACTGAGCCACCACAATATTCTTCACCCATCAGTATTTTTTCAGTGCATAACTCATTCACCTTATGTTCAAAATAGTTTGAGCCTGCTTCATCACAGCAAAAACAATCTGAAATGTAAAAAAGTTTCCAAAAAAAATAATCCAAAGACAACTTACTTGTCTTTGAAAATGTCTTGAGCAGTCATCTCTTCTTTTTTCTTGCCAACTTCCTTTAGAGGGAAAAGTGCTTTTACTTTTTCAAGAGTAGCCTGACACCTTTCTTTTACCACACGGGGAATCTCCAGCATCTCTAAAAGGTGCGGTTCAACTGGTGGCAATGGATCATTGGGGTGAAAAGCCTTATGCTGCAAGCACTGCAAGAAACAATTTGAGCAAAGAAAACTTTCTGTTTATGTGCCTTTATTATAATGTCAGTATGCCTGACACCATATGGGACATGCAAAATACCTTACTTATTAAAGAAGCTACCTTCGTATTGCTAACATATGTTCCAGCCCACAAGCTGATTCAAAATTCTAGGATCAGCTGATTAAGGAGATTAATAATGATATTAAACAAGAGTACTGATGCAGATAAGTGTTCCCATGCTCAGTGGAATGAGTTCCATAATGAAACAGTCATCTGCATCTATTCAGCTTCTTAACTTCACTTTACCTTTAAAATGGTGTTCTACTATGAACCAGTCAGATGAGAAAGATTTCTATACCTTTCAAAATTAGGCAACAAGTTATATACTTAAACTATGTATTCTACTTATTATCAGTTTATATTCCCTCAAAATATTTCTTCTTGGTCAATAAACTCAGCATACATACAGGAGAAACTTTCACCAGTTTAAGTGCAAATGGAAAGAGAGAAGTTAAATGTGCACAGGTGAGGCAGAGAACACAGATAAGTTTGCAAATTCACTATAAAAAGAATGAATGAAGGCACCTGACTGATGCAGAACAAAGGTAGACCAGATGGTAGAAGCTACAGAGGACAAGACTTTCACCAAAGTGTAAAGACCGTGCACGCAGTCAGAGAACCAGGCAGAGGGAGAGAGATGAGGTTAATGGGTTAATGAGGCAGGCTTTCAGAAATACCATAAATGTTGAACTGTGGGATATCAGTAGAGACTTCTCTGTATGTGTATATACACCCAGATACCAGTGCATGCAAACACATACATACATGGGATGTATGTGGGAAAATAAGTTTTCCAAGCCCACTGTAATGGGTGAATTAGACACAAGTCTGAAGGTAACCAGTCAGTAAACTAGGAATACAGCAGAGATTTGCTCCCCTGTTAGCTGTCAGACATGACATTGATTCAAAAAACAAAACGAAAGCATGAAAATAAAACCCCTATCCATGCTGAAAAGCTGCCAATAAAGAAAAACCAGACCATATGCTACACATCAATACTGATGTGCTTTCATGCTGCCATTAAGATTCCAATCCATATTACAGCACACTTTCAAAAAGAGGCAGTCATACTAGGCTACTAATTTGGAAACACTTGTAATGATCTAAGGCATAATTATTTTGAAAGAGTAAAAATACTAAAAAATAGCATTAAAACAACTTTAGGGGACCGAATTAAACTCACTAACCAAAAATCTTAAGTCCCCTGTTATGAATGTGTTTTTCACGCTTTTGTATCTGATATCTGTGTGCAGCTGCAAGTGCTGAGCAGACTGAGTAGCTACAGCCTCCACATGATCCTGTTTTTCGAGTAGACCTCAATCTCTGAAACATGAGATGGCAGGTACCATCAAAAGTCAGTTGCTAAACAGATATGAGGTTGGGTAGACTTAACTTGAAGTTTTGCATCCCAAACAATCCATTTTAATCTTGCTTCCTCTTCCTTCTGTGCTCAACAAGAACCACTCCTACATTCTCTTGCTAGGAGGCAGCCCACACTGGCACTGGTTTCCAGACTCGCCACTCTCCATTCACATGTTGTCAGCAATGTTAGCTCCTCCTTGATCTTCCTAATTTCCTCACAAACCTTCCCCCAGGTCTGTCTCAGTAGAGAACAATCACTGTTGAGCAGCTGAGTTTATGTGGCTAAAATAAATTGCACTGCATTCCCCAAATGTCTTATGTTCTTCAAATACTTACGTTTAAGAGGAACAACTGAAACAATGACATTGGAAACATGCCACCACAAAAGCTATGGCAGTTCCCTTATGCTTTTCTGGAAGGAAGACATGAAGGTTGCAACTCTGGATATTGCTCATCTTCCACTCCAGCAAGAACTAGCAACCATATGATCATTTCCTGATGCCTACCACTACATCCAGCAATATAATTTCGTTTAGATTTCTATTTAAATACTGGCTCTTGTAACTTGTCATTCCAAATATCTTCATCAGGCAACAGAGCAAGGAAATGAAGAGGGAGTTCATAATTTTTCCAAACCACCTATAGGTCCTGTTCAACCCAATCAATTTACTGGCTACATTTATAAGATTATTCATAATTTTTCTTCAAGTTATTAAGGAACTAGCAGTGCCATTTGGTCTGAGAAATACTAAGTATCTGGAACATTCTTGCAGCAAAGGCAAGAACCATCTTTCTGCAACTTACACAGATTACATAAGTTTTGTAACCCAGACAAAAACATGGGGCAGTGTGCAGGCAAAAGAAAGCACTAAAAGGACCAGTAATTTATTCTGTATACTGTCTAGCACATTGAAATAGTCAATAAATACCTTTCCCACCAGTAGTATTCACCCCTACAAAATGCTATTATCCTCTAAGGAAATTGGTGAGTTAAGTAGTTCCACTCTCCTAGCAGCACTTGACTCAACTGCTGAGACAACATCATGATACTGTTTCATAAGATAAATGGACAACTAAAGAAGCATCTTTCATTGACAGAGACATCCTCTGAACCAAAACAATGTAAAATTGTATCTAATGATATAATAGAGGAAATTTTATCTCCTATATGTTTTATTTTCAGGAAAAAAATATTTGTTTTGTATTACCCAAGCTTTACAACTCTTCCTCAAATGTCAACCCATTTTAAGCTCTTGCCCAGCAATAATGTTCAACTGACCATATCTTGCAGTTACACACTGTCTTGTCAATATGACTGGCAGAATGCAAAGGGAACAACAAGTTCTTCAGGTGTCAACCAGAGTAGGATTTTAATAAAGTGGGTTTCAGTATGTTCCTGAAACATAAAAACCACCTTCAGATCTTTTGCTTAGTTTACAATACTGAGGCAGCATGGCTTTTGGAAGCTAGAGTAAGTTTTCTTAATTTTATCAAGCATTTTCTTCCTATAAAACACAATTCAGCAGTTGTATAAACTGCATCATAATTCTCCTTATTTTTGCATTTGCTGTGTCATTTTCTTGAACACTTGAATTCCAATGGGTAATTAAGTCTTTCGTTCTCACAGTTGCAAGAAAAATATTCATGATATGAAAGGAATATAAATAAAAATGTAGACAGCTTGATACAATAACTGCAAGAAGTGTGAACTTTTCTGCTAGTCCATAAAATACATCAGCTTAGACACCCAAATGGCATATTTTAAATGTCAACTTTAACCATTTACTACTGATCAAGTCCACCTCACATTGATCTATTTTTAGAACCACTACTAGAAGCAACAACGCACAGAAAAATGACTAAGTGCCTGTGAATATCACTGATGCAGTTGCAGACACCTCTGCAAGGTATTGTTTTCCCTTGCTTCCTGGAAACTGGAAATTTTAAGAATAAAATCTGTCAGGGACAACATAGAAACCACTGACTACCTTATACTTAAATGCAAAAGAATTTATATTCCCACCTTCAAAATGCACATCTTTCTAATGGGAATCAGAGAAAGACAGAAAGGAGAAAAGTCTTAACAAAATAAGGTGTTTTTTTTCAATGCCATATCATTCATCTCACCTGATACAACCTCTGAAAATGAGGGTTTGGGATTTTGCTGGGCTTAAATAGGTCCTCAAAACTTTCTCCATCATCATCTTCATAAACCAAATTCATAGAATCAATCAGAGAGTCGACAGCAGATAACTGATCCACTAAGGCAGCAATTACAAACAAAGAAAAATTAAATACTGGATGTGTTTCTTGAAACAATTGATAAATGAAGATTCACTTCACAATGTTGAGATTTTGACCAAGTCACTGCATGTCACAGAATACACTACAGACATAGACCTGTCAATAAAGAATCTGGATAATGGACATTGTAATAAAAACCCCTGCTTTATTTAAGGACTACAATATAAAGTCATTAAGCCTTTCCTCCCCCTGCCCCCAAGACCTCAATTATTGCTGCCTTTCTACTTCCATTTTTCAATATGTTTTTATTTGCAACAGAAGGTTTATAGGCCACTTAGAAAAAAAGGAGAACAGTTGGTTTGAAAAACTAAATTTTAAAAGTTATTATTGCAAATTAACACAGTTCACAATAGCCAACCCTTGCTTTGGTAAGACAGGTTTTTGATTCGTTCTCAAACTGCTACAAGAAAATGGAAACTGTTTCAGAAACAACCCGATGTGCTTTATACAGCCTGATGCACAGATGCCCATTCAATGGATCTCATAACAAATTAATGAAGTGGGAGTGAATTTTAAACTACCTCCATTTCCACTCATTGCTGTGCAAAATTCGCAGAACAGCGAGTCAAGCTTTGTATGGCTCCATGTTCTATGGCTCTCCAAAGACACCCTCCATCAGAATATGAACGCTTTAAAAAGCAACGCTCTGCAGTCTTTGCACATTATATTAACAAATCATACTGCAACCAGTTACAGGGCAGCTTTGTACAAACAGAGCTGATGCCTCTATTGCAATTCTAGCTAGCTAATCATATATTGTAGCTCCTCACAAAGTCTGGCCATTTAGTCCAATAAGTGAGTTCAAAGGTCAAAGGATACAGAGGAGTAAATTCCAGATGTCTATCACAGAGATCCTATCAGACCAAAAACCCCCATAAACCAGAGCCTGAAGTCATTTAACAGGACAATTTAAAAAAAAATACCTGCAAACCCCAAGACTGCAACTAATCTGGCAAAGTTTGGATACAGGCTTTACACTTCAAGATGACATCACCATAATGTATTCCCAAAGGACTGGAGTTTTTTTTCCCAAGTTAAAATAGCGGCAAAGCTTATGTTTTCATTGAAAAGCCAAATATTCCAGCTCTTACAGAGTGTTCTAAAGGAAGACAAGTAGCTTACTTTGTTGAGTTGCCCAGAGTCTTACCTGTAGGAATGCATTTTTTATTGTTTTTCAAGGATGAAAATATGTACTGTCTTAAGTCTTCCATGTAGGGTAGTTGCACATAGATGAGACACTGAGAAAGAAAAAACAAACTGAGCTCAAGTAAAGAAATCCAAAGTATCCCAAAGTGCCCTATCAGGGCAATATTAACGTAAGAAAAACCCAAAGATCTAATATCTATGTGTATCAAAATACTTCCATTTACAGAGCAACACAGTTTTAACCAGAATAAAGCATGGCATTATTTTATAATATAGTGATGGCTACACTAATAATTTTTCTACTGATGGGATAAAGACCTCTCAGGTCATCCAATTCCTTTTTCTTGTGCAGAATTCCAATCAGCCAACCTTTAAATGCCCCATACATTGGTGCTTTGGGAGGCTTTCTCACAGCTTACTGTGTTTCAAAGTCAAAAGTTGGTTTTGGTTTAACATTCTCAGCCCACTTTTTTCTGTATTCAAATACCTCCTCCAGTTCTTACCACCCAAAATAATTCCTTTCCATCTTTTATGTTTATACTCTACAAAAGTCTGACAATTGTTACATCCACCCCCAGCTCCATCACTGCTTAGCCATGCTACATATACTTAGCTCTTTCAATAGTCTCGTAACTACAATCAGTGGAAACATATGCTGCAAAAATTCTGACATACTGTGTTGCTTCTGGTTCTCCCAGAATTAAAAAAATATTGCTTCAAATATGATTCTGCTGTGTACGTGACTTTTTTCCTAAGAAGCAAACTTCATTTTTTTCTCATGCCTTTTTTAATAACCTTTGCAAGGAAATAAATATACTACTGTTTTCCTAACTCTCCATAGGAATTTAAACAGCTTTAAATGCTGCGAGTCCTCCCCTCAGTTCCAGTTGACCAGGAAACCTAATGATAACAGCATAGTTGGACATGCTTGAAATGCCACACAAACTATCAAATTCAAATTTTGCACTATCAGGCAACCCAGAAATAAATCTGCAGTTTAATACAAGACTCCAGTGCAACTTTGGATTGTAAGCAGAGAGGCAGGTGGTAATGCAGCAAGAAAGCAGTGGTAACTTCTAACATAAGTATGTGATTAAAATGTTTCTAGATACCAAAAAAAGATTTCCAGAGTATCAAAATCAAATTATTACTGTGTTACTATTACATAAAAATCAGTATTATTTAATTCAGTCAGAGGACACTAATAGAAACTTATGGCATTATTTTTCCATGTATTTTTAATACAGAATTTTCTTAGTACTATTTACCATCTCCTTTTCCTAAAAATTGTACTGTTTCCTCAAAACACTCTGAAAAGTCACATTGATTTTTTTCTGTTATTACATAACACTGTAAATTCATATGGTTTAATTATGACCACTTACTAATTGGTATTTGTAAAGTATCAATACACAGGCTCTCTACAGAAAGGTAAGGGTGAAAAATTACCTCATATGCATCCTTAATATATGGAAAAGCTACCCCAACTTGTGGGTTGCATCTTCTATCATAAGCATAACGCACTACAGCTACCACGTTCAACTCATCCAGTGCATGAACAAGGGCAGAAAAAGCTACTGCTGCATTCTGGGGAAAAAAAAAGCAAATAACAAAAACAGTAAGCAAGTCCTGAAAGTTGCTTGTCTGCTAGAATACATCTTTTGCAGGGAATTAAACAGTACTGATTTAGTCAATACTAGTTCCCATCTCAGCTATAACTTCAACACAAGAATTTTTCATGTTTAAAAATGAAATGTGGCAACAGTGGATCCGTTCAAAGCTGAGAAAACTTTAGATCCAGCATATTGTACCTTTTCCACCAGGTGTGATGGGCTCTTCAGAAGTATTACGAGAGAGAAAGAAAGGGAAGTAAGCCAGACACCTAAAGGAACACATCACAGCACTCCAGTGAGATTTTTACCTCTAATATTAAAAATAATTCAGAGGTCTGTTCTAAATAACAACGACAGGGCACACAACTCATCTGCATGAAAATGGACTCAGGCACCAGTTCCAAGTTCCCTGTATCCTTCCACAAACATGGTATTTACCAGTTTCTCATAATTCATGAGATGGTATTAATTCAGGGTCTAATCCAACCTCTTTCCACCCTAACAGGCAAGAGAACAAGACCTCTGTAAGCTGCATTAAACATATTTGTTTTATTAGCACAGAAAGAAGGGACAACTTCAAGCAAGCGCCACCACTATTCTTTTCTGTTCCATGGCAAAATACCTTCAGCATTGAACTTCAGGTCACCTTACCTCATCATCTTTGGCTGCAAAGACCTTCAGAACCTGGTTGCCCATGTAGTAATGCCTCTGGATCTACAGATTCAAATGGTCAAGAGTTAGTCTGATCTAAAACAAATGGTGTTAATGTGACTGGACCAATTACATTATGAAACAACTAACACATTACTCAAGTGAGAACACACAAAATTTAATTACTGTGCATAGCAGTTAAAACCCTGTATAGGTTTCCTACCTCCATTTATCACTCAGTATGGATATTCACAGCAGGACATTCTCATACTTTCCTATTGATAGGCAGGACTGTGGTACCTGCAGCTGTTATCAGTCTGAATAATCCTGCAGTAACTCTAAAGACAGCACGGAAAACCATATGAACTAACAAAAGACCTAAACCTGACACCACATCAGTGTTATTAAATTTTCCTAGCAAAGCTATGTCAAAAAGGAGCTGAAAAACATTGTATCTTTAAATAATAAAGCTACTTCAACAGCAACCTGGAGCTGTGCTGGCAAGGAAGCACTTCTGTTAGCAAAGCTTATGCTGCTCATGAACATTGCTGACCCAAAAAACCCCAAAGTTTCATTAGGGGACATCGTTGAAATAGCTGGAGCTAGAGGCTGAGACACACACTGAGAAACACTAACAGTGGAAAACCTGTGACAAACACTTCACACTGTTCTAAACACTGGTTAAAACCACCTTTTTCATTTAAGAAAAATCCCTTCAAATTATACTGTCTTCAAACTAACCTGGAGTTTCACTGTTAAGCAAATTACCATAATGCTATTGAAGCCGGTGATAACTTGCATCAGAGCAGATCTACTTAAAGCACCATTCTTCAATTCAGGTTATTCTACCTGCAATTATTCTTTGCCTTTAAACACTCAAAATTTTGATTTCAGTACACTATAAATAACTAGACATATCATCAGACCTTTTTTGTTTGCAAGAAAATGATCCCTTGGTAATATTTTCAAGTATTATTTCTTGATTTGCATGGCATTGCTTATAAATTAAAAATCAAAGTTTCAATGGCCTCTGATCTTCTTTCCAGAGGGATGTGAATAACTCAGAAAAATAGTATGAGGTGGTTCTATTCCTTCTTTAATTATGCATTTGGAGCTGTTCCAGTTTCTATAGTTAATAATAAATTATGTTTTCTTCAAAGTTCTTAAAAGCAACTAATTATTATAAAACATACATTTGGATAGTATTATGATTCCAAACAATAACATTCAGGAGCCAAAACATAAGGAAAATATGGGTCTTAAATTCCAGTTTTAGTTGAAAACTTCTATCTATAGACTGTAATTCTAATCTGGCAATCATATGTATATGTATAAAATAATTTTACTTCACTGAGGTCTATGCATCTACTATTGGGGATATCACTCACACTCACAGTTACAGGACCAGAGCAGACTTTAAGATGCAATTCCTGTTTAAGATGTAACTCCTATTCCTTATGAATTCTACAGCCAAAAGAAGCACATTATTAAAATTATCAAAAGGAATAAATATTTTGTGTACTGAAAATAAATATAGAAGCAGTCTGTAAATCAGTTCAAGCATATTTATGTGAAAAGTATCCCTACAACTAATTATATTCCTACAAATAATTATGTAATAACTATGTATTTGAAGGTATTACCACACTATCTGGTGTGAAATGAGAATGAATGCAGACAGTTCTCAGCCGTCATTATTTCTTTCATTTTGATAGAGAGGCTTCTTCTGTTGAAAAGAACACACTCAAGGCTGAAAAAAGCCCAAAAATGCTTCTGCGAGACCTGAACAGAAGACAGACCATCTGCTGTTGCAGATCTGCCATCACTATTTAAGTCTGTGAGATGAAATGAGACTACAATACCTCTGTCTCCACTTTGAACAGATCTGAGCTGAGTGGCTGTTGCTTCACTTGAGGGCACAATGGCCACTTTCATGAGCTTCTTCTCTCCTTTACAACACTATGTACTCTCTGCGTCTACTAGAACCAGCAAGCAAGTCAGCCCTGACAGCAGATGTCTCAGTTCTGATACCACAACCCAGTGCAACACCACAACTTCAGTGTATTCCAACTGAAATCCACTGTCTTGAACAACCCAGGAAGACAAGTGGAAAGAAGTTTAGTACTGTACCTGAGAGGATCTGCTGAATCCCAAAACAGAAAAACATTTTGCTTCTGTTTTGTATTTCATTTGCTCTTCATCTTCCTTGGAAAAAGGAACTATATCACTCCCGTAGCGAAACCCTGGAGAACAAGAGAAAAGCATCTGGTAAGCACATGGGTCTAAAATTCTGTCACTGAAATTAGCTCTCTGAATACTTTACCAGTGCATGCATGTCCCACAGCTATGCTCCACAAACACTCACCAAATTACTTTCCCTGTTAATAAAACAAACCACTCACCCCAAAGACATTTTGTACTTCACGAACAGCAGTTGCATTCCTTGTACATTATTTTATGCAACACACCTGCCTTCAGAGAGAGCAGGAAAGAAAATAAGTGAACTGAACTGTCTTTCTATACATTTCTGCGTTTTGCTTCTCATGCCTTACAAAGATATGTCCACAAAACAGGAAGCTGTTAAGCTTGTCAGAGGTATCATCCGTTCCAATTGCTTACTCTCCCACCTCAAGCTACAATATCTTCCCTGTAATATCATCACTTTATTATACTGTCACAGTCTAAGGATTATATCCTCAGGTGTGAAGAAAGCAGAAGGAACAGAGGTAAATCTCTGGATGGAAAACCTATATGCAGATAATGTTTGAATGCACAATATTGTTTAATTATGACATTTCTCAAAATGTCCACAGAAGTCAATCAGTAGCTCTTAAACTGCAAGAAATATCACACCGTTGATACAGAATTTTTAATCCCTTTTGTTCACATTGAATTATTTGTCACTTCTTCATATTAGTGTCTCACTACTGTTCACCAGCTTGGGCAGTCAGGACATGAGCAGAAAATGGCCATAAATGCTTCAGAATAAATGAAGTACAGAAAGTGAACTAGTTTGGTGGGGTTTTTTTAACTAAAACTTTTAAAATTATAAAATATACATAGACTATCAGCTTCCAGCTATTATTTCTGCTCTAAAAAACAAAGAATATCACACTGTAGTTGGGACACTTATCTGCTGTTGCTACAGAACACCTCTGATGACCACAATGGAAAGAAATTAAAGTAAAATACAGTTTTGCTCTTCATTTTTCTATTTTATTTGACAGCACTTTGTATACTGAAAACTGAATAGTTCTGCCCTTTGTAGTTCATACATTTCTCTCATTTGTGTGGGATTCAAATAGCACATGAAAGAAAAATACTAAAATAATCTATCTATAAAATTGCAAAAAAATAAACATATTTGCTTAACGCCCTTTTCAAAAAGTAGACTATTGCATACTGTTTCTGGGCCCTTCGGTCTTCTCAGAAATTTCTACTCAGAAAGAAGCTGAAGGTATTGTGAGAAATGGTAGCCTCTGTGACAGCATCGGCCTGCAACAGTTATAAAAGTAGTATTCTGCACATCACTACTTCAGATTGAAACTGTCATGGAATTTCAACAGCCAGTAGGCTCTTGAACACTAAAATTTCCTTTAATGTTTTCATCTTCCCTAGTGCAGAAAATACAGAACAGTTGTTTATCTAGAAGAAAAAGCAGTGTTACGGAGGTGTTAATGTTATCGGGACAACTGCAGATTTGAAAACAGAAGAGGCAGCAGTACTATTCACCACAGAACTGAGATACAGTCCTCCACAGAATACAGTTTAGGGAGCTGTAGTGCTTTCCAAATTCCACCTGGTATTATTATTGTTGTTCCTATTACTGGCAAAAGTAAGACTTCTTAAAATATGTGAAGACAAAGAGTCTCACATAACAGTCTCTGTGTTCCATCAGATTACAGAGCTTACGTTCTAAGATCACAGCTAGGCTTCAAAGTATAAAACTAAAAGCCCTTAGGTGATTTCAGAGTATGACACATCTCTGGTTTGTCTTCAGGGTGCACAAAAAGAAGCCATACCTTGAAGAGTATCATCTTTCTGAACTTCTGTCTCATCATCATCATTCAAGCAGTAAACAGTTTCTCTTTGCACATCGTCTTTTTTGAGGGTTTTAGCATCCACAACTGTCCAAACCTTTTTCAACTTCTCTTCTGTGACCTTTGTATCAGAATTTTAAAAAAAGGAATATTTAACATTTCATTGGGATCCAGAGTGCTCAGCAGAACATGTAAAAAAATTATCAGAACAAGTGCTGTGCTATTTTACCAATAAGGGGCTGATAATGACAACCCCAAACACGCATCTCTGGCTGCTACCACAGTGCACTCAGCACAATATTTCATCTATACGAGACCTAACACCTAACCTGTATCATATTGACTGCATCTTGTCTTCATTAGACATTCAAGTCGTGGGCTAAGTCATTTGTGCACATCTTTTAGTCACAGGATACACATAACTTGACTGCTCTGTATTTTACCTCCTCCACCTACAAAAACGCTTTTGATAAAGCACTAAGATATATGTTAAAGATAGAAGAAGACTGAATGTTCATTTAGTTTGCCCAAGTTTTGCACCAGGGTTACTACACTACAGAATAAAAATGAAGCTTCCCCAAAAGGCAGAAAAATATCCCACCTGCATTACAGGACTGGGAGGGGAAAGATGGAATAAGTATCTGCAATAAGTGAATGTTTAATACCTACAGGGAAAGAAAAATGCTTTATTTTCTCTCTATTTAAGTGAAATTGATAGTATACTTAGTGAATGGGAAATAAAATGGAGAACTAGTCAAAAAAAAAAAAGACAGATTACAGCAGTAGATGTCACAAATCTACTCATAGCTCTGATTCAACTGCTGTGTAACCTCAGGCTAGTAACTTGGTTCAGGTTCCTTACTCTCTCAAGGTTCATTTATTTTGTGTGTAAACATCTTTGGGAGGGCATTCCTACACTGTATTTGTACAGGTCTGGCACATTATCCTAATAAAAAAAAATGTTGAATATGTATAAATAGAAAGCTAGGAGCAGAGACCTTTTCAAGGAGAGTATATAAGAAATCAGGTATACTTCAGCTTCCTAATACATCCTCCTAAAACTCTGCAATATCAGCCAGACTCTTAATCTTATGTTCAAATAAACCTATTAATCTCTATCTCACCAGATCCATCATACTATATAGTTACCTATTACTTATTAAATAACTGGAATTTTTCACATTTTGTGTGTTTAAATACACTTCTTCCTAGCAGTGTTACTGACCCATATAAATTGTACATGAAACAGACCGTGTCCAAGCTTTGCCAAACAGTATAAAGCAAACAGGCTGAAAAAAAATACCATTTTTCGAACTCTGAAATAACAATAGATGTGATTTGAAACAATAGCTGTTAATACATTTACACCCACCATTTTACATACACATGGGCATCATTCCTCTCATGCCTAGGGCTGAAGAAAAAAATATATTAAGTCTCATCAAGCTGCAGACATATCACTGAAGTGGAATGGAAAGCTTCACACAAGTGCAATATTCTTAATCAGGTTCATCAACTTCAATACCATTAAGTGTCACAGTGTAGATAGCTGAATTTTAGTTCTTTACCACATGTGTACAATATGGTGAAGTTAGAGTTGCTGTGGGAACCACAGTTTCAGCTGTACTAGCTTCTACACACAAAATTTCTCTCATAATTATTCTGGATGTTGTTTTATCCCTTGTTTTCTTGGCTTTAAAGAAGAAACACACAGATGCATCTAATTTGCCGCCAAAATACACTAAGACTTACAACTTTATTAACTTACTGATTTGTAGGCCACAATTCTTATAGATAAATTAGAACCAATAGTGAGCTGGCAGGGCCAAGCTGTAGGTCTTCTTTCTATTTTCTTAAACATTGAAAGACGCTCCAGGCTCTCCCTAAATGAAGGAATCAGGGAAAAAAAAGCAATCAACTCTGGTGAACTGTAATAAAATATTACAGACAATACTCTCTTCAAGGAGATGTAAGAGTCCCATTTTTCCAGCTTAGACTGCATAGTGTCAGAAAGTAAACTATATGAATAATAATGCCATTAACTACTGCCAGAAAAGAGAATGAAAAGAAGAGGTGGTGTGAGATTCTTCCCATCTCAAGGCTTCATGATGGTGTGACATTAGGGCTTACAGACAATACATGTCATGTGATGCAACTACACAGTTCCTTATTAAGCATTTTACATTCATCTGTGCAAGCCCAGTTAGGGCACGTAGTTAGCTGAACAACCCAGACTAGAAAAGGCTGCTTCTCTAAGCAGTAAAATGCTTTCTCCAATGGAGGTGAAGAAATAAAGAATCCAATTTCAATTAACAGGATTTTGTTTGTGTGGTAATTAACTTTTAACACTTTTTTTATACTAATGAACTCATTATTTTCAGGGCATTCAGTTAGAGTGAAGCAAATTACTTGGAATATTTCTAGCCTAAACAGCATATGTGCAGGTTCATAAAACACACAAAAAAGGAACTGTAATGATTTTACACTAAAAAGTGTTAACTCAATCACACCACTTTAAACAATGAAGTCCAAAAATTGAAAATTGTCAGTAGGTTGAAGTAATCTCTAATACACTATTGGGAAATCAAATAGGTTTGCACCCCAGAACAGCTATCAGCTAATACAAACTGTACCAGATACTTTGCTGTAAATTTCCACTATAGAGAAAACACTTTTTTTTTATTGCACAATGAAGCACAGATAAGAGTGTTGACCTCAATTTTTACATATGTTGATAAAGCCCAACAATCTACCTCTCTCTTGATTAAAGCACTTGTCTGGCAGAAATTAAGATCAATTCCTAAAAACATTCAGTAAAGAATTCAACTTGGAGGTCTACTTTTCAATGTTCTTAGGGTGAGAAGGTTGGGTTTTTTTATTCGAATAGAAGCACAATGAAAGGAGAAAATGCCCTGGGATTTTTATTATGAGATAAACTGTGTATTTGCTTTATTATGTTTTTTTCCCTTGGGGAAAGGAATGAAGGAAAAATTACTTTTTCCTCACAATATAGACATATATAAAGGATTTTTTAAAAAATAACCTGTTATATCATTAAAATGACAGCAACATATACATTCAGGGATGATGTGAAAATCAAGTACCTAAGTGTGAAATGCCTAAATATGTAACTTAAGCTCAATTTATTAACTTTAACCTTTATTATATTTATAGAAGATAAATGTTTCTTGTTATCAAAGAGGACCCAGCCAATAAAACCCTAGTAAACGCATATTTCAACTTTTGTTTAAAAAATATACCTCTTCTCTGCTGTCTAATCTCTTCCCCCAAAACTAGAGGCAGCAGAAGTACCTCCTATCCAAATGTCAGAACATCAAACCCTAAAACAATACAACAGAATTTTCTCCCTTTCCTGGCATGACTGATTTATTGTCAGAAAAGTTGAAGTGTTTTTACCAGCAGGAGTAATTAACATAGGAAACAGAGAGTGTATCTGAGCTAGTAAATGATCATGACAGATTTGCAAGGCTAATTTCACAAAGCTTGATAAGCAACTTAACTGCATCTAAAGCCACACATTCTTAAACAACTAAAGCTTTCATCTATTAGTCAAATACCTATTTAACCAAAGATTTTTTATTTCCCCTGAAAGCACAAAACAAAGACAGCTTATACAGTAGCAAGAGCCTGCAATAAACAAAATATAAAGGAGCTACATAGTAGCTTCATGCATATGGATTATCCTAAAGGATGAAGGGGCCCAGAAAGATAATGCTTTTCTGTGCAGTTTTCTGATGCAATGACAAAGCCTGCTTTTTTCTCAAGACTCAAGCTGCTCCATTGATAGCACAGAATACATTCACACTGATACACGTTTCTTCACTAATCCACACTAATGCTCAAATAACAGTTTAACTGGCTGCTGAGGTGCAAAGAATTTCAGTTGGGCAGGGCAAGGGAAGGAAATCCCAGAAATCAAATGAAGAATTATCAGCATGCAAACTTACAGGTAACTCATCTAAAAATTACACTTGACAATCACATTGCAGCCATGGTCTACACAGGTTCCTGAAAAAGGCATTGTCTACAATATTCCACTTCATAATTGTAGAACAGAACTACTAAGACAATAAAACCAGATTTTTATAAGGCACATTGATGCATTTTGAGTGAGTGCCTTTGCATTTCCCCACTGAGACAACACCTGCATGGATTGGGTATATCATTGGGTGTATTTCAGACACACATTTTTATTCTTTCATTAAGGAAACAAAGTGAAAAAACATGTTTTAATTCTTATATTAGAAAAGCTGCTAAAAAAGTAATATTGCTTGGCACAATGGCACAGTAGTCTGTGATTAAAGAGCAGAATTCAACAAACAACATTGCTCAAAACATTTGTCAGGTGTTTGATAAATTAGTGAGGTAAAAGAAGTCTCAGATCCAAGAACAAAGGCTACTATTAAATGCAAATGTTTTGCTTGCACTGTCATAAATTCCAACTCCTTCCAAAACATGCTTTTCAAACCTAATTTATAGAAACATTCTCTTCAAAACCTACTAAAGGTGGAAGAAAACTTTTTTCTTTAAATACAGATACAGAAAATTCCATTTCCAGTGAAAGCTGTAAGCTTTTCATTCTATTCTAAAGTCACTACAGAATCTGTTTGAAAAGAACTGAGTGTACAGTAAATAAGGAACATTACTGGCTTCAGTGAAACTGGAAGCCAAGTGACTGATTAATTAATTCCATATTCTGAGGAAGAAATCAGAAAGTAAACTTACAGTGCGATAAAAAGGATTAGCCATGTTTACCTGAAAGTATAGATTTCTTCCAGCCCTCCTTCTTCATCCAAAGTATGCATCAGCTTCCTCACCACATCAATGCCTTCCTTCTGTTTTTGAGTTAAACCCTTTCTTGGAAAATAATTTCTGTGCATTTCAGAACATCTGGCACTTGCATCTCCACCCCCATCATCAACATCCACTGTAAAAGGCAGGCTAAGAACACAAGCAGAAGCAGTTAGTTGGACTTACTTGTTAATAACCAACCAAAACAAATTTCATCAGAATCAGCAATTTTTATCTAGCTGCAGTCAGATGTTTGCAAGACACATGAAACAGTATTTCAGGTCTACTTGGCATTGGTAACATCTTGACTGGAATGCTCCACCAGTCCTGGCATCATACAGCAAAGAGGTCCACATACAGGAAAGGATTAGGGACTAAAGATGATGATTAGAAAATGAGATCTATGAAAAAAGATTGAGCAAAATAAAGCCTGTAGGGAAGAGAGTGAGGGCATGACAGTCTTAAACATAAAAGGCTACTGCATAGAGAAAGGGAAAAATTGGTACCTCATATTCAGCCTGCACTCAAATTGCACCATAGACTCAGGTCAGACATTCAAATACCTGATAAAGGCATCTCTAAACCAACTGCCTGAGGAAACAGTCTCCATCACTGGAAACCTTTATAAAAAGATTAGAAAAACAGCACTCTGCAAAGACATAAATACAGCTGACCCAGTTTGATGTAGAGGATTGCTCTACATTACTTGTTTAAAGGCTGTTCCAGGCCTGTAATTCTGTATTGGCTCTAAATGTTAGCAAACGGGACTTTCCCTGCAGTGGGGCTATTAGGAATTTCTAGAATAAATTTTACTATTTGAGATTTTAATAGCTTACATTAATAGGTGAATTTTGAACTGAAGATGACACATTTTCCTGCACTTCAAGAATTGGATTTTAAAATTTAGCCAGGGGTTACAGATAAAATGGTTTCACTGCTCTTCAAAATACGAGATTTAACCAAGAATAATAGCCACAGAAAAGAGAGATGTGCAAGATTGTCCTCTCTGTTCCCCCAGATGTATTATGTTTTTAAAAAAGCAGCCTCCAGACCTCGATCTTACATTCACCTCATTAGTCCTCACTAAACTCACCTGTGGAGCAACATACAATAAGCAGAGTTAACAACCTGCACAACAGAGACATATAGTAGGATTCAATATCAGGTTTCAGCAGTATTTGATACATTTATAGGAAGCAGCTTTCACAAAGAAAAACTGTATTTTAAAGCTGTTAGAAGAGCAAAAAGCTTCAACCCCTAGATACATAAAAGTTAGATTACTTAATTATGCAGTGCTTAGAGACTCCTGTGATGAGAACTGTGTAATACCCAAAGCTAAGCAGCGCTCAGCATGTGCTCGGTGCTTGACAACAAGAAGGAAAACCAACTATCTGCCACAAGTTACAACCTAAACAATAAAAAGGGCATAAGAGATAGAAGCATGGGGTATAACAAAAGGACAAGGTTTAGCAAGACATGGTTTTAAAACAGTATCTTGAATATTTTACATTTGTACATGTATTTCTTAAAGCATCATTTACTCCTGTGGCTGTGAGACAAGGTGTAAGTCTGCAGCTGACGCTGTAACAACATTTCCCTAGTACTTCTTCTGTTAGCCATAGGGCTAACATGGGGCTTTTTCATTGCCACATTACATAGAATAACTAAAGACATATCAGAAATCTCACAGAATAAAACTACAAGGTTAATCTGTGGTGGTAGCATCTGTGCTAGAGTGTACAGCAAACTACAGACACAGAGACAAGGTAGCAGGGTCTAAACATACTAAAATTAGATCGTGAAAGATCTGACTCTGACTGGCAGTATGTTCATGGTATTGTGTCTCCACTGCCTCCAGTGCCAATAGCTCAGATAAGCTAGAAGGGGCACATGATAGCATTTGGAAAACATACCTCCTTTTGCTGTGTAGACAGAATCCAAGAGTAGCCTGAGACCTTTCCATTCAGCCTCTCCCATGTAGAGGCAAAAAATAAATTATGTGAGGGATCAGTCCATGATTCTCAGTCACTCTTTTCTAACTAATCCCTCTTGCAGGTGAGTCTGCAAATAACTTAAATGAATTTATCAGGTTCACAACACTGCCCCTTACAGAACACTAGATCTAGGTGAAAGTAAAACCCAAAAGGTCAGAAATAAAACTGCAGCTTTAATTTTCTCCTGTGAAATTATTTGTTATAAACAGCAAACATGAACATTCATATTAAGTTTTGCTTTATAATAAACTGACCTATATCTTACTGTGTTACTATCATGTGCAACAACTAATGCAGATCTCAGCACTACCATTGATTGTTCAGATCAATGCTTAGACCTATACCAAGACAGGCAAAAAGATTCCTGTCTTAACATGTAAGACATTGCTTCCATTTTCCACTTCCTTATTCCAAGTCCATCACAGTGAATATAACCCTTCTCTTCAGACTTGTCTACTGAGACTAGAATCAGGCTATAAACACCTGTAACACTACCTTGTTAATTCTTCCCTTACCTAAAAGGATCTAGGCTGTTGCTGTGATAAAACTACTGCCTTACTGAGGCTATTTCTGGCTCATTGTTTCCCATTTTCCTGCTTATAGAGAGATCTTTTGTCTTCTGTTTTAACTTTGGCTCTAAGCTTAACTGGAGAAGTCATCATTTTACCATGTATTTGCACATCACTTAATCCAGAGGACTTGGTTCATAACAGAAATTAATGGCATGAGTAATTGACATCAGTAGTTATAACAATCACATTACATACTGGCACACCTCTATAGAAACACTACTCCAACAGACAGATCACCAGCCCCTTCAAGATCATTATTAAGGATTATTTCCCTTTAAAAAATGGCATCATGTGTAACAGCCACTTCCATACTTACAAAAATTGAAGTGAAATTCCTGTTTTCTTCAAGTTAGCAATGATAATTTCCAGTTGATCCTCACTGACAGGACTACTAAGGTCTGTAAACACTTCAATGTGTCTCTTTTCGTATTTCTTGCCTCTTAAAATACAAAAACAACATTTACATGTATCAGAAATATTTAAAGGCCTTTTTCTAATTCCTTACAAAATGCAAGCTTTAATAAAGTAATATACTTGCAAAAAATAAACAAATCTACTAAGTTTTTCTATTATTGCTCATATTATTTATAGTAACTTTTAAACTTTATAAGATTTGCCCTTCTCACTCCTAGCCCTTAAAATTGAGGACTGTAGTCCTGTGACTGCATAAATCACTAACCACATCTAAGTGAATGGAACTCTGCCAGTTTTCAACAATGTGGAGAAAATGTTCATAAAACGCGTTAGATTGTTTATAGATTACACTGGATATTTCCTTTGCAATTGCCTGTCCCTGTGAAAATGGAAAATATTTTAAATTACTGTTGCAGGCAGAGGTTCCATTGTACTAATTCAGTGGATTCAGTGGATAAGATGGACTTTAGAGCCTACTCAGTAAGCTAAGAAGTAGTAAAAACAAACCAAAAATGTGTCAACTACGGAAAAAAATAAGTTTAACCAATTTGGTTTTCACCTGGATATTCAAGCATAAGAGTGATTTTCTTGAATTTTTACCCAATAGTATTTTCTTAACTGACTGGTAGACTCTGCATCAAAAGGTTCGGTGCATAAAAGCAACTTACCCAGAATATAACAAAAGCAATTGGTCCATAGGTATTGAAGGTTATATTGCCATAAACACAGAGCTTTTAATTCACAAATCACCTTTAACATTTAAAGTCACACAGGTCTCCATGCTGATTAAATAATAAAAATACAAATTGCATCACTAAGTCTAGTCATCTGCATTCACAACTCTAACAACATGTTCAATCTCTGTTTTGAGAGAAAGAAAGGCTACCTTCCTTTCCCTGGACCAAACAGCCAGATTTCTAGTCACCCATTCATTGACAACTTTGTAACACTTGTGCCAACATTTTCTTTCAGCTAAATATGGTGGGTTTTCCTATTGCACACTTACCTCCCACACCCTGGTATTTACAAACAGCCCCCTTATCTCCAACAGCCTTTAAGTTGCTGGGCTGAACAAAGTCATCTTTCTATTTTTTTTTCCTTTTTTCCTTGCAAGATATGCCTTTACCCTTATAAACTCAGTGGCCCTTTTCCATGCATGCTGGCATCTGAATCAATGTTTTTTTGAAAACAGCTCATGAGAAATCTGACACTAAGTGAAGTCTTTGTGCCTTGTATAAAGGCATTAATATTCTCCTGAACTTACTGCAAAGTTCCCAGTTGCATCAGAAAGCTCTTAGATTGTCTGGAGAACCTAGATGCCTCCTGGGGATTTTTCAGGGACAGACTCCTGTAGTGTGGTTTTATTTTTTTTCATAAAAAGCATTTTTCATATTTACACAATCCTGGAAATGTAGTAAGATAAGAAATCAGCTCAGCTCTAAAGTGCAAGGTCAGAACTCTGTAAAAGGCTTTGGGTTACATACTCACATTGTTTCCTTCTGAAGCAAGTCCATACACACAATAATAGCATCCAGAACTAAGCAAGTTTAAGAAAAATCTTATGTCACAAAATTGTTTTTCCTATGAAATAATAATCTGTTTTCACCTTCTCCCAAACACTGACAAACATGCATTTTATTTAGCAAGCAAATTACTTTCTGACCCAAGTGGTCTTCAAATATCTCCTGTGCAAGAAATTCCTATATAACCTGTTCTGTGATGTTGTCTCCTTCCCATTTGTCTGATCTGATGTTTAGAGCCCAGTCTTTTAACTGTAAATGAGGAGGCTCAAGTCCAAGGAAAGAGCAATCTACCCTTCCCTACATTACTTTGAAACCACCAACAGAATTCACTTGCACTTTTGATACCATTTTCTCATGCAAGTTTTCCTTCAAAAACACATCTCACATCTGGCAATCTCTCAATAGCTTATTCCACAGCACAATTTTTATGGGGAGTGTATTTTTATCACTGTGTCCACTGACTGGAGAAGGATCATGCTAAGATGCAGGTGCCTGGCTGCACGCTTCTCTGAAGCAGCTCTGACAGTCTGAACTGAGATTACTACAATCATTTTATGGCCAGAAAGAGGGAAGACAACATGTGGAGTTAGAACAGTGTGTAAATAAAACACACAAAGGGACACTGTAGAGATTGCCATCTTTCAAAAGTCTTGACTTTCTGCAGTTCACAAAGAATACGTTAAAACACAAAAACATTCAAATCAAGAAGTGCCATTTGGCAATGCTAGAAATACTTTAGATAGATATCAACATGATAAACTTCTATTCTGCTTCGTCTAGCTTCTGGTACTTCATAAGTAATATTTTCATTTGATTAAAAAAGCCTAAACAAAGTTCTGCAATACTTTTTTTAAAACACACGCCTTATTTTAGGCCTAAAACCCTTCAGTGAATAAATTTTTCCTCATAATCAAGCTAAACCTCCCTGGCACAACTTGAGGTCATTTCCTCTTGTACTATTGCTTGTTACTTGGAAGAAGAGGCCAACACCCACCTTGCTACAACCTCTTTTCAAGTAGCTGTACATTATTGTTATCTTTGTTCCTTTTAATTAACAGAACAGTTCATAAAAGCAATGATTCCCCAGGGCCAAGACTCCATCTGCTAGCCTAAAAAGAAAAAGCAGCTAATCTGCTTTTGAACAAGCTCACAACCACAAATTAGCTGAACTTTGGCAGTAGCTAAAACTTCCAAGTTAAATCTGAGTCCATTTCACAACATTAACTCCCTGTCTCCTGCTTATCTGAATCAGTTCAAGCAGTGGTCTACAAGAAAAGGATACAGTCTGCTTGTTCAGAGCCTGGTTTGATCACATCTTCAATGTCTTTCAGCAGATCAAAATCTGCTAGCATTAGTGACCTGTGTACAGTAATGTTTTGGTATTGATCCCCACTGGCCAGGCCATTCCTAGTATCATCTGTGCCAAACAAAACTACAGCAACTTCATCTTTACTTTCAGCAAAAACCTGGAAACAGAAAATACAAAACAAGTATAAACACACTGGGAGATTCATACACCCATGGTTAGGTAGGCTCAAGCAAGCTGAACTAATCTTGAAGCAATGTCAAGTACAGTGAATTCCCTTTTTCTTCCTTTTTCAGTGCTAGCCTATCAAAATGTTACCTTACAGAGAGCTCACTAATTAAACTAACAGACTGATATGAAGGTATCTGGCATAAAACAAGTAAAACTGGCTGACTCACTCAGCCAATGAGTCTTCAGCATGATAAATCTTGAGAAGGTTGAAACATTTTAGATAAGAGAGTCCTCTTTTTTCCCACGTAAGTTTCTACTGCCGTAAGGAAAAAGAGTGACCAACCCAACCACATCTCTACAACAGCCCAGCTGTGACAAAGAGCACTGTCACTCCTGCATTAGCACGGACTAATTCGGATGCATTTCTCACTTCTTTCAATTATCAGTAGACGAGGAAAATACTTCAGAGACGCCATTGCTTCCTCTCCCCTTGTAACAGGTTTTAACCACAGGAGAAGCCACACGTACCTGTCGCTGCACAAACTTCGTCATCACCTTCTTGGCTTGTTCCAGCGGGGACTCCCCCTCGGCAGCCGAGCAGCCCATGGCAAGGCCCACGTCCAGGCACAGCACCGTGGCTGCCTAGGAAACACAACGCCCAAGGGGAATGTGCCGGTTCCTCGAAGCCAAACGTACCTTCAGGTCCCCGAACACGAACAGATAAGACTCCAGCCCGTGTCAGAAGAGAACTCAACGCAGTTCGCACCCAGAAGACTCAGACACACCCACCCACCCGCACC